GAAATGCACCTCACTACACTGGGAGACAGAAGAGTAAGGGGAGACATGATCACTACCTACAAAATTCTCAGGAATTGACAGGGTAGATAAAGATAAACTGTTTAACACTGGTGGTACGCGAACAAGGGGTCACAAGTGGAAATTGAGTACCCACAGGAGCCACAGGGACGTTAGAAAGAACTTTTCCAGTGTCAGAGTAGTTAACAGATGGAATGTATTAGGCAGCGGTCCATAGAATTATCCAAATCAGCCCAAATCGGCCCAAAACTACACAAATCGTCCTAGCATTACGTAAGTAATGAAGAAATATGGTATATTTACTTACTATAATGTTGATGCTACACGTAGAACATGATCAAACCTATTTTTACTCTGAAATAATCTAATTTCATAACGAAATGAGACGTAAATATGCGAGAGGTGACGCCATAGGAAGTCGACGGTCCAAGCGACAATTGTGTGGAGCGACTTATCCAAGATATATGGTCGCCAGGAGAGTGTTTGCTGCCATATCAGCCTCCTGTACACAGTGATCCAGTCCTTTTCGTTCATTGAACACCGAACCCTACACGCCCTCTGATATATTGCTTAATTAACAAATATTCACAAATAAAGATTATATTTGTATATGTTATCAGAAAGGCAGATATAAAATAGTTTTTGTGAATCCATCACAGAGATTATACCTTATTAGAGAGGAAAAATATTCATTCTTTAAACAAGGCTTCATGGCCGACGCTCTCCTTACCGATATAGGAACTATGACCTTCCGAAGATCAATGTTAATTTAATCTAGATATTGTAATAAACGAAGTTTTCTATGTCATCATAAAGACATAAATATAAGCTGCATGTTAATACTTTGGCATAAATATAACTGAAGTGAAAGTGAAGATATATGCCTTTTTATAGTTACTTGATGGCTCGCTCAGGGAGTGTGAAGGCCTCCACACAAGCCAATCAATTTTATAATTACTTTGCATATATGCAAAGTAACGCCATAGGTCTTTATGTCAGAATAAAGACATGTAGACGATAATGTAACTACATTTCAAGGAAAACATATCTTAATATAATTATTAAATGAATGCAAAGTTATGGTTAAATAAATAGCCAATACCACACAATCGCCGGTGTCCGGACACATGAATAGTCGCATTAGGTGAAAGGAAATGTACCCAACCATTTCCATTTACCCAACCAGTTTGTGCACCCTATACTCATCCTCTGTGCGGTAATTTATTGTGCACCCCATACTCATCTTGTTACCAGTTGTTTGTGCAACCCATACTCATCCTGTGACCAGTAATTTATTGTGCATCCCATACTCATCCTGTTACCGGTAGTTTGTGCAGCCCATACCCATCCTGTGACCTGTAATTTATTGTGCAACCCATACTTATCCTGTGACCTGTAGTTTATTGTGCAGCTAATACTCATCCTGTGAGTCATAGGACATTGCGCAACCCTTTCTCATCGTGTGAATCTTTGTTTACTTTGCTCTCCATATTCATCCTCTGCGCGATAGTTTCTTGTGCAACCCATACCCATGATGTGAGTGGTAGTTTATTGTGTACCCTATATTCATCCTGTGAGTATAGGGTACACAATTCTTGTTTGGATTCTTGTAATGTTATTTGTCTATTTGTACTCACAGCATTTGTGCGCCCCTTGAGGGACTCGAATTAGAGGGGGGTTGAAATAGCCTAAGCTACTCTATCCCTTTGAGATGTATTTATTGCTTATCTCAATAAACATACTTGAACTTGAACTTGGGTACACAATGAGTTCATTTGTACTCCATACTCATCATCAAGAAATGTATTTTACCAGCATTGTAATATAAATTAAGAATAAAAGCTTAACTGGATTACGGACCCATAATCAAAATAAGAGCCATCACTAATTATCATGACAAATTGTCTAGGCTACACTTCCGCCTTCGACAAGCTGCCGCCGGAGGTGGGTATAGTTTATTGTACACCCCCGCACCCCCAGTCCTGGAAGGGCGGGCATTGGGATGTGGACATGTGTACTGTCTCAGACCCTGTTGGAATATAACCAGTCTGTCAATCGGGTCAACCCAAGTGTTGCGTTTCCAAAAGGGTCGCCCATGTTGGAATCGGTGAACGCCCTAGTAATATTGTTGAAAACATCTTAATAACTTATTAAACCAAAGGTCTTTTTATGTCAGAAGAACGGCAGAAACTAGATCTATATATGAAAACTCTTTCAGGACAAAATTTAAAGTAAAACTAGATTATGTAAAACTAGATTAAAGTAAATTTATGTTTCTATCTTTCTTGAACGTATAAAAATCTTACGTTTATTAACGATTCTGCGTGAAATAATCATTGTTCTGAGATGAATATTGCGGATTTCCGGCTCTACGACCGATGAAAAATGCAACTTTTATACAACTACAAATATCTTTAGTTTTACTTTAAATTTTGTCCTGAAAGAGTTTTCATATATAGATCCAGTTTCTGCCGTTCTTCTGACATAAAAAGACCTTTGGTTTAATAAGTTATTAAGATGTTTTCAACAATATTACTAGGGCGTTCACCGATTCTAACATGGGCGACCCTTTTGGAAACGCAACACATGGGTTGACCTGATTGATATATGGGCCAGATTCCATTAAGGTTCGGAACATAATCATTTATTTATTTATTTATATATATACAAGAAGGGTACATTGGAATTGTGTGGATACATAGCATAGTAATTACACTCTTGTAAAGCCACTAGTACGCGCAGCGTTTCGGATATTTTTTAATATATGATGAAAATATTTTATTCGTTCAATATACAATTTATTTATTTATATACAAGAAGGTACATTGGGTTTGTGAGAATACATAGCATAGTATTTACAATCTTGTAAAGCCACTAGTACAATTCAATTCAATTAAATTTCTTCTAGTACGCGCAGCGTTTCGGGCAGGTCCTTAATCTAACAGATAATTTTAAGTAGGCAAATTCTAGCAGAATTAATAAAATAACAGATACATTGCAAGAAAAAAATGAGATGAGAGAGATTAGTAGGTATATTAAAGCACATTGTATATTAAAGCTCTGATTGATTACATTGACAGCTTAATTGATAATTTAAACAAGATTATTAATAGGCACCATACAGCAGATTGATAGCACATATAAGAAGACAGCAATGATCACAATGGTAAAGATGTTCGGATTGGGTACATAAAGATTGGGAGATTGGGTAGCAAATGATACAGTGCAATTTTAATAAATTGATATTGAATATATTGATATGGTAGACAATATATTGAATATGCTAAAAATTGGTATATAGAGGGTAAATTAATTGTTTATAATTATAAGGAAGAAAGAAAGGAGTTTTTCTTTTTTACCCACAGGGTTATAAACCCATGGAACTACCTACCCGCTGAATCTGTAAATGCCAAAAATCCTCAGGACAAATAGGGAGACCTCTACAACCCATCGGCTTCCTGTCCTCGTCGAGGCCACTACAAAGATAGTGGCCCACAGGTAAATTCGGGTAAACTACTATAACTTAAGCGTCGAGGTAGTTCAGTCGGGTTCGTTTTCAATTCACAATAAAAAATTCTGGGTTCGAGTCCAGACGGGAAAGTACTGATTGACCGCATTTGATATCACCTAATCACCTTTAGAGGGTAGAAATAGAGCCTAAGCTACTCTATCCTTTTTGAGATGTATTTTATTGTTTCAATAAACGTACTTGAACATGAACACCTAATGCCTCTGTTCACCTAGCGGTAAATAGGTACCCAGGAGTACCTATTTATTTATTTTTTTGCATCCTGGGGAGGCTCAGTAGTTCGCCCTTATGATTGATTGATTGATGAAGATTAAGCCACCCAAAAGGTGGCACGGGCATGAATAGCCCGTAAGTGGCGGCCCTTTGGAGCCATTACCAGTATCAAGAGCTGATACTGGAGATCTGTGGAGGTGCGACTGCACCCTATAGAGAGGTCGTGACCTCTGGTTCATTATGGGGGGGCTCAATATATACTTAACAAATATATATATATATATATATATATATATATATATATATATATATATATATATATATATATATATATATATATATATATATATATATATATATATATATATATATATGCAAACAAGCCTGAATGGTCCCCAGGACTATATACAACTGAAAACTCACACCCCAGAAGTGACTCGAACCCATACTCCCACAACTGGTATGTACAGGGACGCCTTAATCCGCTTGACCATCACGACCGGACATAAGGAAGTGATAGCCGAGGCTATATGAACCACTTCCCCGCCGGCACTCGGATGGTAATCTTGGTGTGTTCCTCACGTGTGCCCCAAAGAATGAGGTGATTTGATAAAATGCTATGCCCAAGATTACCATCCGAGTGCCGGCGGGGAAGTGGTTCATATAGCCTCGGCTATCACTTCCTTATGTCCGGTCGTGATGGTCAAGCGGATTAAGGCGTCCCTGTACATACCAGTTGTGGGAGTATGGGTTCGAGTCACTTCTGGGGTGTGAGTTTTCAGTTGTATATAGTCCTGGGGACCATTCAGGCTTGTTTGCATTTGTGTTCCTCACGTGTGCCCCAAAGAATGAGGTGATTTGATAAAATGCTATGCCCAAGATTACCATCCGAGTGCCGGCGGGGAAGTGGTTCATATAGCCTCGGCTATCACTTCCTTATGTCCGGTCGTGATGGTCAAGCGGATTAAGGCGTCCCTGTACATACCAGTTGTGGGAGTATGGGTTCGAGTCACTTCTGGGGTGTGAGTTTTCAGTTATATATATATATATATATATATACATATATATATATATATACACTGGCTGCCTGTCCCCGACACAATGAATTATTATAATTATTATTATATATCTGTTAATCCCTCAAATTTGCGACCTGCTGAATTTAAACATACGGATAAAATGAATTTCTTCTCATATAATATTTTTAATTACAAAATATACAGAAGAGCATGACAGAGTTGTTAATTAACTGTTACAGAATATGAATATTAAATAAAGCCACTAATACGAAAAGCGTTTTGGGCATTACTTCAGATAATAGTTAAATTATTTCTACGTTTGATGGTTAGTTTATTTCATTAATTATGCACCCTATACCCATCTTGTGGGGTGTAGTGGAAAGGGTTACAGAGGCACATAATGGGCTCAGGGACTGACTCCACAATTCATTCAGCTAAGCAAGTTACAATCTTGATGAGCTAGTTACACAGTTTAATTTATATCGTTACAGTGTTACATTAACAATAGTGGTTCAGTCTGTGAAGGTTACTGTGGTTGTTTCAAATGCCTTATGCAGGTCAATAAATAGACCTATGAGGTACTAATTTTGGTCAAGAACTCTATTTATCAAGTCATGCTTATTAATCAAAGTAACATTGGTGCTTTTTTTTTGGGTGGGGAGCAGTCTACAGCCGTGACATACGCACCTTGGATCATGCCTGTCACCCCCACAGCCGTGACATACGCACCTTGGATCATGCGTATCAGTGTAGCTGTGACAAACATACTTATCTTTCCTCATTCAGCGTATCCCGGATGTTTTGTTCCCGCTCGTATTTCCACTTCCTCTACTCCGTCTTATTCTAACTTTTTCTCCATTCTCAGTTCTCCCAAGTGGTTAGTGAGATGTCAGACGAGAGGCTGTCTAAGTACCCTCGCTCTCCTGTAATCTACTTTAAGGAAATATCTTGTACTTGTGAGTTGTGTGGATATACATCGACTTCACAGCATTATGCCCTTGGCGGGATGGGCCTCTTCGCCTGTATTACTCAACGCTGTTCACCGAGATAACAAGTGACACAAGGATAATAAACGATAAGGGAGAGATATATATTTTTTCACCATAATAAACAACACAGTTAGTGTAGAACACCGGCATACATAGGCGTCATGACGTCATTGCTGCTTCCTGACGCTAATGCTATATATTTGTAAGTTTTTTTAAATGTTTTATTATACTCTTTATGTTTTATTATCCCTGTGTTACTTTTTATTATCCCTGGGAGTTTCAAAACGAAATATTTACGTGAATGAAATATGGGTATACCACTTTTCCACTACCACTCGGCTACCATGTATACGACCATAACTACCATCACCATTACAGGTACTATTGTACCTGTAATGTAGTAGGTACTATTGTACCTACTACCACCATCTCTACTTCTCGATCAACCACTATAATCTCACGAGTTAACCACCAACATCACAGCCTCACTCAACCACCGCCACACAAGCATTCTAATGACTGATATTTTACATATAACAATTCTGTTTTACAAATTAGCATTGTGTATTACTATTTAATATAATCATCTTTTGAGTTGTATATGCGAGAGAGCGAGTGTGTGAAGAGCTGTGTTCATGATAGCCTAATACAACGCTGGCCAATCTCCTCTAGCCTCGCCAGATGAATTTTGGGGGTACAGTTCCTGAGCCCATCATGTACCTCTATATCCTTTTCCACCACCACCTGCAGGATGGGTACAGGTGCATAATATATTACCTAAACTAAAAACAGACTAGCTTCATTCCCTTCCCATCTCAGAGAGCTCCTAGACATGACGGAGGCTGTGTGCTTCCCTTCCGGCTTCCAGCTCAGAAGGGGAGCAGCTTCCATGGTGTTCACGTCTTCGCTCTTATAGAGCAAGGAGACTGGTGGTGTATACACTGTGGTAGAAGAGAGCTTGAAGTATTTTCTCTATTGCCATAAGTCATAAGTAAGTTATACTTAGTTCCCTATTGTGATTTACTTCTCATGTTTCCTACACAGTAAATGTAAATACCTGTCAATAATAAACCTGTATTATTTCTGCTTATGTATGATATATTTATATTTGACCCATTTCATTGTGTATAGCGTTTATTTTTATTATATTTGACCTTGCTGTGATGGCATTGTCAATAATTTCCCTCACTTAATAATATACGTAAATTCCCTTCATTTCCATGATATATATATATTGTGTTTCCCTTTATCATACATTTCAATATCTTGGGTGTTGTTACAGCATCTCATTATTACCTTGTTGGTCAGGATGCTGCTGGTATGGATGGTCACTATCAAGCTCTCATTGACCTACTGCTTGCTTCTCCTGCAGCCTCATGTACAGCCTCGCCAGCAGCCTCGCCAGCAGCCTCGCCTGCTACCGCTACCACTGGTACTGCTGCTGCTGCTGCAGAGTTGTCACACCACACTCGCTGCTTCTGGTTCGTCCCGCGTATCTCGTCTTGTTTACAGTATTGTAAGCGTTCGACGTTGCATTAATTTTTAATATCTTTCATAGCTGTAGTGTTTGAGTCGCTTTTAAGCTTTACTAATTAGTGATTTAAGTGACTTTATTTAATTTAAGTGATTAGTGATTAGCAACTGATCACTAATTAGTGACTTTACTAATGAAGTGATGAGTTTAACTGGCTGTTGGCGTTCACGTAATGGCAGTCTTGCCAGCAATGGGCATTATATCTTGGTTGCTCCTCCATCTTCCTGTTGTTAGTGGGAAGGCACAAGTTTCTTAAGTGTTCAATGATGGTAGAACCATTAACAAGTTTATTAAATCATTCGTAATTCTGGTTATTCTACCTATCTTAAGAGGCTTGGATTCATTACACATACGTACACTTTCCCAGGATGTCTTAACTCCCTGGTACCTATTTACTGTTAGGTGCACAAAGGTATTAGGCGAAAGAAACTTTGCCCGTTTATTCCTGCTTCGACTGGAAATCGAATCCAGGTTCAAGGACTGACTTCCGAACACTGTCCGTTCGGCCGCGGGGGTCTATAGTTGTATGTGTGCGCAAAAGAGTAATATATGTAGTAGATATAAAATAATTAAGTTAAGAGATAGTACATTAGACAACCGACGGTTAGAAAGGCTGGATCTAAGAGCTTGTTGCTCGATCCTGCAGACATGAATAGTAAACTAACACACCTCCAACGACTGATATGTTGTTGTTGTTAAAGATTAGCTACCTGGAACAAAAAGTTCCAAGTAGCACGGGCTATGGTGAGCCCGTAGATAGTTATTCTGATAGTTCCCGCCCTCCCCCAGGTTGTGAGCCTGAAGAAGAATTCTTATCGATAACTTCACGTGAGACTTCGAGCGTTCACAAGATCGTCTTGGGCCTGGTGTTCCAGCACGCCTTTTCCCTTGAGATATTCCTAAAGAATGAGACGACTTCACACCCTTGTTTTCTGAAGGTGACCCTCATCAAAAACAATTCTGGTGAATTCCTCAATCTGACGGACCTGGGGAATGGAAACCGGCTTCCACTTGCCGAAAATCCTTGGCCTGCCCTAGAGGATAATTCCTGTACGGAACTCATTGTGGAGATTAACGATAACCTACTGAGAGTGACAGCCAGGAAACCCTCGCTGGAGAGTGAAGGTCACTCTTCACCGAGCATCACCTTGCGTCAGAAGGTGTCCAGCACATTTACGGCAGCCGTTGTCAGCGACGACCACAGCTCCGTCCTCAAGTGGGGATGCCAGAGTGAAGGTAAGTGCCAGAGACCTGCGCCAGAATTCATCAAGCATTTACGCAACCTGTACATCTTTCTCCAATCATTGCAGTTCTGTTTATGTTAAACAAATCCACAAGGGCCGTGACGAGGATTCGAACCTACGTCCGAGATCATCCTGCATATAAGGCAGTGTCTGGGATGATCTCGGACGCAGGTTCGAATCCTCGTCATGGCCCTTGTGGATTTGTTCATTGATGCATCACGTTATTGCGATTTCTCTGTGTAATTTATTAAACAGTTTACGAGCTTCGAATCATCACAACCCAAGGTTATTATTAGAAACAATCTGCTTTATCAATGTAAATGAAGCCGCCATGATCGAGGAAAGAGATGTACAGGTTTCGTAAATGGTTGCATAAATCCTTGATAAATCCTGGCCATGCAGTATCTCCTGCATGTAAGGTAAGATGGACGGGATAAGATGTGAGAATGTACAACTAAACCGGAGTGCTTAGTTAACCGGTCTGCCACTGTTTTGACCCCAAGAGAATGTGTGAATAGTTCGCTGGGTTTACTGATGTGAAATAACTGTCATCACTATCACTTGAATCACCAATATCGTTTATCATGTGAAACTGGCGCCATAATGGTGATGTGGAGGCAGCGTCGGCTGACTCCATCATGTCTTAATGTACATTATGGTTTAAACACTTCGTAAACAGAAAGTTAGAAAACCAATGACATATTCTTATAGAAACTTAACAGTAAATGGCTTATTTTCCCCCTTATCACCAAGTATCGGAAGAGAAGACGAAGTGGACGAGTCAGCATCTCCTGTGTGTGAGTGGTGCCGGGGTGCTGCTACTCTTGGTCCTCCTGCTGGTGTCCCTCGGGAGGTGCAGGAGCCGCCCCTCACGCCCACACCCGCCCACGGCCGCCCCCGCCACTCCACCCGCCACAACACAACACCTAGACAACACAGTGCAGCGGAATTCGTTACTCGACAGCAGCGACAGCTTCCAGAGCGACGAGTCACTTCACAGGCATTGTCATCAGTACCTTCCTGGAGATGGTGGGTCCCAAGACCTCTCGCGTGTCAGAGATGACCACGACCCGGACGGCAGAGGACGACTGCCGAAGGAGGACCACCAAGCAGGTCATAACCCCTCGGTGAACATCCGTAGGAAGCCCGAGTGCCCACAAGCACAGTCACTAAGGGACAGCCTTAGCATGTACGAGAGAGTCACCTGGTGGTGGGGGGACCAAACGGGGTGAAGAAACATTATAGCGTAAAGAAAATGGGACTTAACCAGATATAATTTAATATATAATTAATGATATAATTTGGTATCGCTGACAGTGTGGGAGAGGCAGTTAGAGATGCTTTTTTGTTTATAAAATATACCTGAATTATTATCCTATTTCTTAGGTAAACATATTTATTACTCTTGTCAACTATACCCGTAGGAGAGAACTTCTGGAGGAGAGACTTTAACAGTAAGTGTTGCTAAAACAAACAACGTCTATAGAGTCGAAAATGTGGGTTTAGTTGTCCATAGAGATTTTGTTCCAACGTATTTAACGACCATTATCGTCGTCGAATCAACGTTGCTAATAATTATTAGCTTATAAGAATTTATAAGTTTCCTTAAGCGGTGATTTGGGTAATATGGGTTGAGTTAAGTATATTTTCTTATAATATGTTGGTCTCCGTATCTGTCTACCTCCAGGTGAGTACTACATCTTCTGGGGGGGGGGGGGGGGGGGCGCGTCGTGAAAATTATGTAAATGTAAATTTCGACTGTAAATTTATTAGATTAAACGAAACACTATTTTTCCAAAGAAAATGTAAGTAAATTTAAGGGATACTATTAGAAAATGTTTTTCTTTAAGTTCATGAAAATGTGTCTGATGTATCATTTAAATAAAAAATAATGCAGTATATATATATATATATATATATATATATATATATATATATATATATATATATATATATATATATATATATATATATATATATAAAACAGGTAAATTCAGGTAAAAACTGTTTCCATTGACCCCAGTCCTCCCTCTAGTCTTTGTATCATAGTTCTGGAAAATCCTTTTATTTTTACTTTACTTCGCTGCCTTAATAATCTATTCTTGTGCCTTCAAGTTTGGTAAAACAATGTTTTTAAACCAAATTCATAAGGTTGGCGGCTTTTGTTTCTTTAAACATGTCTCTGTGTTTACCACTAACATCCTGTAAGCTGCAGTACATCTAGTGTAAGACACGAGTGATGTTGTGTAATCTGATTTCTCTCAACATTAAAATATTATTTCTAAATGTGTTGTAAATTCGTCTACTGCCAGTATCAGAGACACAAAATCAAATAGGCTTTAAGGACAGACTCAAGTAGATCAACTCAACGACAGATTCAAGTAAGTTAACACGACGTCAAAGTCATGTAAAGTAGGCTAAGACGACGACAAAGAATACACACTCGGTTTCATACTTTTTATTTCTATCCACGAATAAATGAAGTAAAAAGATCACTAACAGTAAATTGTTCTCAGGTAACTTTAAATGCCGAGAGGTGAGAGTCAGTCACCTTTGTATGTGTGTGTGTGTGTGTGTGTGTGTGTGTGTGTGTGTGTGTGTGTGTGTGTGTGTGTGTGTGTGTGTGTGTGTAGTGTGTGTGTGTGTGTAAGTGTGTGTGTGTGTGTGTGTGTGTGTGTGTGTGTGTGTAAGTGTGTAAGTGTGTGTGTGTGTGTGTGTGTGTGTGTGTGTGTGTGTATGTGTGAGACAGGATAGAGAAGTATATCTGAGGATGTTTGATATACACACATACACTCTACGCTACCAGCTTCTAATACACTCACCTTTCACACTCACCAGTCACACTACACTTGTCTCTCTCATACGGAGTCAGACTCCCGCGTATGACACGGATATACACACTAATATTAATAATTATACTTAATAATACAGGGCGGGGGAGCATTGTTTCCAGTCATTCATTTATATATATATATATCTCATGACATTATAGAAATCCTAGATGTATGTCCTAAACACAGATGGATCAGCTGATATCATACACAGGGGTGAGCTGATATCATACACAGGGGTGAGCTGATATCATACACAGGGGTGAGCTGATATCATACACAGGGGTGAGCTGATATCATACACAGGGGTGAGCTGATATCATACATATGAGTCTGCTGACACAAACAAAGATCAGCTGAAATCATACACAAATGTCTAGTGACATTGAGAAGTCGGTTGACCTCGTACACAAGGGTCAACTGGGGTCACACACACACACACACACACACACACACACACACACACACACACACACACACACACACACACACACACACACACACACACACACACACACACTAAAACAGGTCACGTCGAAGTAGGTCACAACAGTTAAAAAAGCATAAAGATAATTTAGCATAATACAGTAATTAATGTTCAAATTGGTTCATACATGTCAAATAGTAATACAGTTATTTAGGATAATTAAAAATAGGTCGAAACCGGTCAAAATAGGTCGAAACCGGTCAAAATAGGTCGAAACCGGTCAAAATAGGTCGAAACCGGTCAAAATAGGTCGAAACCGGTCAAAATAGGTCGAAACAGACAATAATGGGTTGAAATGGGTCTAATCAATCATGATTTGTCTTGAGAGTCGGGAGTAGTGTTGCATTATGGGTGTTTTGGAGGCACCGTGTACAAGGGGAGCAGAGTAGCCGGCCTTACGAACCCGGCAGACGACACACTAGTTGATTGACGGTTGAGAGGCGGGATCAAAGAGCCACAGCTCAACCCCCTGCAAGTACAACTAGGTGAGTAAACCAGAGTAAACAAAGGTTCTATGCTGTTTACAGGCCTTTCCGGGGCTTGTAAACCATTCTACCAACGTTTGTTTTCAGCCGGATTTTAGTTTTTATATTTTATATATCTTTCCTCTGAATGTTTGTTTTAAATCTATGATGAACCTCTAAGATACAAGTTTTTGGAGACTTCTAGGTAGCTGTTGCAAGTTGATGGTGTCAATTGCCTGCATGTCCCCCCCCCCTCTAGTTTACTTTGCATGATGGAGTCATATCATGTCTTGGGGGGGGGCTAATTTATGCATTTGAGTTCCAAAATGTATGTAACTCCTCTTCAATGGGTCAGTATGGGTTCCGTAGCGCAGTGGTCTTCATCCTGAGCCGAGGGACCCGGGTTCAATCTCCGGGCAGGATAGAAAGTGTTTGGGACGTTCCCTTAGTAAAGGATAGCAAAACCAGTTTACTTTTCCCCACAAATGATAGCATGCCAGTTTACTTTCCCTACAGGAGATAGAAAACTAGTTTACCTGCTCCACAGAAAATAGCATCCCATCTTACTTGGAAAAAATTTAGAGAAACGTTACTTAGAAAACTAGTTTACTTGCCCAAGAGAAGAATGTAAACCAGTTTACTTGCCCCACAGAGGGTAGTTAACTACCAGGAAACAACACATGATGCGAGTATTGTAAGTGTTGCCAGACGGATTGTTGCACACATCGTAAGTGGTGTCTTAAGATACAACAACAACACACACACACACACACACACACACACACACACACACACACACACACACACACACACACACACACACACACACACACACACACACACACACACACACACACACACACACACACACACACACACACACACACACACACACACGTCAACACTTGTCAGAGGTATAAAGGGGTTTTAGTCAACTCTTGCGACGGGAATCAACACGGGACAATAAAGACAAATTTCTCACACAAAATACCGTGATCACCGTACTTATAATACATGTCCTGCTGGGAAGACTGGCTGGCCTGCGTGGGGTGATCACAAGGCTATACTATACAGTGGGACTAAGGATTCATTCATATTATTTTACAGTGAATGGGACTCTTCAAGTGTTTACAGTCTGTCTGTCTGTCTCTCTCTTGTCAAGGATGTGAGCCTTTAACACACGCTAGATATTAAATATTAGCGATGGGGGTTTTCTGAATACCTTCAGTATTAAGCTGGAGCAGGTTAAGCGTCCATAAGGAGGGAGGAGCTGGAGACTAACGCGCTTTTGTTGGGTAATGATGAAGGAGGAGGAGGAGGAGGAGGAAGAAGAAGAAGAGAGGAGAGAAGAGAGAACAATTTGTGTGAAGACGATAGTCGGCCGTGACATTTGGGGCACTTTTCCTGTCGTCTCACTTCTCACAGCTCCAGCAGGTGTTTGAGGTGTTGAGTGCCCCCAGCGGACTCCTGCTATCACAGAGAACACCCGTCAGCCTTCCACACCCCAGATGTTCAATGTCAGGGCTCCGAATGCACACACGAGAACACCCGTCAAACACAACTAATGGTAAGATGGATTCTGAATCTATTTGAAACTCGCAGCATATGGGCGTGACCGAGTTACTGGTAGCGACCTTGGGTCAGATTCACGAAAGCACTTACGCAAACACTTACGAACCTGTACATCTTTTCTCAATCTTTGGCGGCTGTGTTTACAATTATTAAACAGTTAATGAGCTCCGAATCACCAGGAGGCTGTTTATAACAATAACAACAGTCGAATGGGAAGTTTTCATGCTTGTAAACTGTTTAATAAATGTAACGAAAGCCGTCAAAGATTGAGGAAAGATGTACACGTTCGTAAGTGCTTGCGTAAGTGCTTTCATGAATCTGGCCCCTGGTCCTTGGTAGCGACCAGGTCCTTGGCAGTGACCAGGCTGTATGTAGCTCGACTAGTGTGCGTGTCGTTTGAGATTGCCTGATAGTACAAAGTACAAATCAGGCTTCAGTTCCCTGTCTCTCAATGCTCTTTAGATTTCTTTAATCTCAGATAATCTTAACTGTTTTTCTTCGTGCGGTGCTATATCGATGCTCTGCTGCCACTTTGCTCCCACTCCCACTGCTCTGTTGCGTTCGCTGCAATCTACGTTTCTGAAGACTGGGGGAATAAGCTTTGAACATAAAAAAAGGGAACTCTATCTCTTCGTTTGTCTTTCCTATATTATCCCAGCATTCTTCTTCAGAGGTAGCATTACAGTCTGGCATTTTGGGAGATGACGCCCCCGATGTTTGGATTCCATCTTCTAGACTCACGTTAGCCTTCTTTAAGAGAGATAACAACACGTCTCTCGGGCCCTTCTTTGAGACTGCATTGGGATTAAAACTTTTCTAATATAAGATTTTGATGGCAGTATTGGGAAGCAAGATTCTTCAGACTTGGCTCGAAATCAGGAGTCTAACTGGGACCTGTGGCTGATGTGTCGAAGTCAATTTTGGTCGTGTCGACGGCTTTTGAACTTCGTAATCTTCGGCTTTCTTCTGAAACTCTCAAGAGATTGAAAGTTTTGCTTCACTGTATTCTGTACCAGGTCTTGCTGCGGTGATGGGTGTCCTTGGAGGGTTAGGTTATGGAATCAGTTCTCGGAAGGTGCTGACCCCAAGTTCAAATTGTTCTTCAATCGGCGGGTGATATTCTTGGTGTCTTATATGTACTGTGCCATCTTCCTAGAGTTATCACTGCGAGCACTGATTCGTATCCAAGGTGATCTTCAGCTGCTGGAGAGGTACCTACGGGCGTCTCAGATACATTCTCGACGAACTTGTTGGCTAAGGAACCTGACTCTAATACAACCTTGGACGAAAGACCGATACGCTCGGGCCCCGTCCCTCTGCGCCTCCTAGTAATTAAGGCGCCCTCAGAACGAAAGGGACCACTAGCAAGAGAGCGGACAAGATTGGCAAGGACGCGCCTCCCGTTGAGCCACACTCCAAGTCCGTCTTGAGGGCCTCCATGATGGACTTATTCTTCTTGTCGCTGCAGGGCGTCTGGCGGAGTCGGTGGACAGTATCTTGACAACGAAGGTACTCTTCCAGTCGACCCTTGTCCACACACACTGACTGCCGCCATTTTTTCAGCCAATCTTCAATCCATCTAGAAAGTAAAGAAGTTTATTAGGTATCTTGGAGGTCATAAGAGAGAACTTATCTTGAAGGCTTTTGACTATCCAAGTACGATTTGTTCGGCTTTTCACAGCTAAGCTTTGATCTGTCTGGATCTCTTATTGGTGGTCTAAGAATCTTTGGTGACATTTGCCGTAACTTTAGTGCCGTCAATAATATTATTAGTGACTCACCATTCTCCTGGTGACCTCACTATTCTCCTGGTGACCTCACTATTCCCCTGGTGACCTCACCATTCTCCTGGTGACCTCACTATTCCCCTGGTGACCTCACCATTCTCCTGGTGACCTCACCATTCCCCTGGTGACCTCACCATACCCCCGGGAACTCACCCAATGCCACAGTCGCAGTTCCACTTGTTGTCATGCATGCGGAGGTCAGTGAGGAAGACAGAGTGGGGCGCCCCGGGGTAGCCCGTGTTGGAGGGCTCCCCGAGCTTCTTCATGGAGTTGTTGACCGCTGATACCGCCACGAACCTGCAACACCCACACGTTAATGGCGGCTCTGGAGGATACTCCAGGCTGAGGCATGTGTACTGGAGGCTGCTCCATGATATGGCATGTGTATCGGAAGGTATTGAAGGGCACTAGAAGCGTACTGTAGAGTATTGAATGTATACTGGACAGTACTGGATGGGAACTGGCATGTAAATGAGGATTGGATTTGTACTGGGGGTACAGAATGTTATTGGACTGGCTGCTGAGGGCGCTGAAGGAGACCTTATTGAATACTTCATACCTAACTAGAAAAATAGGTTCATGGGTTTGGTACTTAATGGATTCTGGATAGTACTAGAGAGTACTAGAGGGCTGCATGGGTTCTGGAGGGAACTAAAGATTGCTGGAGGGTACTTTAGGGGTACTTTTGCAGTACTAGAGTGTACAGAATGGGTTGTGGAGCTTACTGGAGAGTAATAGATGGTACTTAAGAGTACCAGGGGATACTGCATGCGTTGTTAAGTGTAGTGGAGGGGCACTGGACGTGTGTGCACGTGTGTGTGTGTGTTATCGGGTACTGAGGCATGTCGCCAGAGGAGAAGAGGGACTCACTTCACTCTGCCCAGGTTCCTGAAGACATCACTGGGCACCTCCTCCATTCTTGTCTGATAGAAGGTCAGTTGTAACTCCCTCGCTCTCAGCTCCTGAAGACGACAGACATACGGTTAGAAGACGCCTCGTAGATAATCCCCGACACAGGCTCTCACTCACCTACCCCTTTCTCTTTCATTCAGTTATCGTTCTGATTCATATTATCGTTATAAACTGCAGAGTACCGTCGCTACAGGAACTAGGGACCCACCTGGAGGGCGGTGGGAGAGATCTGTCGCATGCGCGGCCCCATCAGGGTGATGTTGGTGAGTCTGTAGGGCAGCTCGTACTTGAGTAGTTGCTTGTCCAGCGTTCCGTCCACCTGCAGGAGGTGAAGAGAGACGTGAGCTGGGTGGGTATTTAAGGATATTTCTTTATTAACATTGGTATTTAAGCAACTACCCCCAAGACTATATGAAGGATTACATTGTGTGTGTTAAGGAATCCCCATCTTGCAGGATGGTTAGTCATACCATACTTTATCTTGAGTGTTGGTGATTGAGAGGTTGAGCCTTATCTAGAGTGTTTCCTGAGAAGCTGACCTTACCTAGAGGGTAGGTTCACTAGAGGTTGACCGTACCTAGAGGGTAGGTTCCGTGGAGGATGTCCTTGACGTACCTCGAGGTTGAGCTGCTGGAGCGAGGGAACGTAGTGGAGGGCCTTGGCAAGGTTGAACTTGGGCATGTTAGGATGGGTGGTCATGTACAGTCTCCTGAGGGAGGTCAGCGAGGCCAGGCAGCCAGCCTGTAGGACAATAGAGGTCACCTCACTACTCCTCTCACCACCTCACATGTTTAACTCATTGTAATTCATGACTTCATCCACTCCTGCGCCACCATACTCACTCCCACACCACCTTACTCACTCCCACACCACCACACCCACTCCCACACCACCACACACTCCCACACCACCACACTCACTCCCACACCACCACACTCACTCCCACACCACCACACTCACCACCACACTCACCTCAAAGACCTGGAGTGGGAAATCTCTGATGTCAAGAACCTCGAGCCGTTCGAGGGCGATGAAGGAGTCGTTGGTGAGAGTCCTGATCGGGTTCCTCTGCATGTAGAGCTCCCGCAGGCGGGGCAGCATCTGCCAGGCGTTGTTGGCCGGTGCTGGCAGCTCGTTGTAGGAGATGTCCAGCACTCTGTGAGGGAGAGACGGTGTTGGTGCGGGTGTTCTGTGGGTTGATGGTGGAGGTGTGAGGGCGGGGAAAGGTGACTACTGACAGAGGCGGACGGGCATCGACTCGATATTTAAGGTGAGTGTTCCATCATCCGTCTAATTTGTGAAGATCGAGAGGGGTTATACACCAGGAGCGTGGAAGTGATGCGCCTCCCCATGTAAACACATCTCTGTCCCTCTAGCTGCATCATCTACACACTACTACTCAACTCTTTACTAGACGCAGAGAAGGACATTAGTCTCCTCTCTACGCGACGTTCATTAGGCTCAGTATCGTGGCACAATGTCTTATATTTGCCTCGCACAGCCAGTCACCTTAAACGTCCCCGATGTTTACTCTTGATGTCCATAACGAAGGTTTCACAACACTCTGAAAGAGGTCATAAAGCATAGGGTCCTAGGACACCCCTCAGTGTCCTATATAATGTCCTAGGACAGCCCTAGCGTCCGTCACAAGGTCCTAGGACACCCCTAGCGTCCGACACAAGGTCCTAGGACACCCCTCAGTGTCTTTTATAAGGTCCTAGGACACCCTTAGCGTTCGCCACAAGGTCCTAGGACACCCTTAGCGTCCTCCATGCGATATATTACGTCATAAGATGTTAGGATTCCCTTAGCCTTCGTCACATAATTCTAGGACTACCTGCCCGGCTGATCACACACCTCCTAACCTGCTAGTCGTCCCTTGCTACGACGCTTGGCCTCGGCAGAGGGCCACCTGGCCACCTGGCCACCTGGCCACCTGGTCACCTGGCCACCTGGCCACCTGGCCACCTACCCACCTGGCCACCTGGCCACCTACCCACCTGGTCACCTACCTTATTCAATATTTGCGCTTCTCGTCCGTGGTGATGAGGGGCTTATACAGAGAGAGCTGGGTCAGATATGATGAAGAATTCATTAAAACTTGTCCCATTTAGGGATGGTATACATTTTTCACAGTACGGAGGGAGGCGCGAAGGGAAATTGTCGGGAAAGAAGAGCGTGGTAATGGTAGTGGAAGTGGCGGTTCTTGGAGACGAGGAATGAAAGAGAGAAGAATGAGATGGAAGTACGAGGGTGAAGAGACTGATGGAAGTAAGAGAATTAGGCCGACAAAATTAAATGAGGAAGATATAGTAGCGCCTTACATACAGGAGGACCTACCTGACGGAGGAGAGGTTGGCCATGGTGACGGAGGGGAGGAAGGAGAGTATGTTGTGAGAGATGTTGAGGTGCATGAGGCGCGGGAGGTCGAAGTCGGGGACGGCGCTGATGGAGGTGTTGGCAACGCTCAGGTTCATCAAGGAGTCCTGAAGTCCGTCGAATGTGAAGCCCTGCAAGTCCTGGACAGTCACACGCACCATTAACCACACATACAAGCACATATCTTCACAAATTGTTTAGTTAATTGTTTACAAAACGTAGTAATATGGAATACGACTTAAAATATAGGATCTTACTATGACTAGTCACATGTTTAAGGTAGGAACTAGAAACTAAGTATTATTATTGATAAGGTCTTAGAAACAAACATATTTTTCTTATGGAGTGAAGGAAGAAGCAATATATATATACTGTACCTTGACAGGGTTGTGTGAGACGTCCAGAACTGTGAGGTGCCAAGTACCACGGAAGGCTTGAGACTCGAGGGTCTTAATGTGGTTATGGGAGACGTCGAGCGATACCAGGTTGTCGAAGCGTCCCAGCATAGAGTCCGTGAGAGACGAGATCTCGTTGAAGGCCATGTCTATGACCCGGATGCTCTCGGCACACCGCTGGAGACTGGAGTCGGGGAATTTGGTGAAGCGGTTATGGCGAGCGACGAAGATCTCCAGCGGCGCAGTCTTGAAGAGGCTCTCTGGAATTCCACGGAGCTCATTGAAGGACACTTCGAAGTGGCGCAGACGGTGATGGTTCTCGAAGAGTGTTGTGGGGAGGGCGGCTAGGTGGTTTTGTCGGAGATTAATGTACTGCAGACGGCGGGTATCACGGAAAGAATTGTGGTCAATTTCCCTGATGTGATTGTGGGAGAAGTCGAGTAGCTGAAGTTGAGGAAAGTTGGAGAAAACACTGGCACTGATATTCCTGAGATTGTTGTGATGGAACCACAAGTGCACGATGGACGACCTCACCGACTCAAAGTAATCGTGGGATATCCAGCTGATATTGTTATGGCTAAAGTCGATCATCTTAATGCTGGAGTAGGAGTTCCACATGGAGCCATTGAGCTTCAGGTTGGGGATCCTATTGTGGCTGGCGTCGATTGTCAGTGTCGACAGTGTCCCCACCTGGTCGAATGCATCGAGGTTCAGGTTGGTCATCTCGTTAAAGGACAGATCGAGGTATCGGAGCTTAGGCATATTTTGGAAGGCTTCGTATTCTAAAAGTCTAATATTATTCCCTTCTAAATCTAGGTATTCCAGGCTTTCTAGATTTGAAAAGCCCGATCTCTCAATCTTGCTGATCTGGTTATCATCCAGGTAGAGATATTTCAAGTTCTTATACTCGTGGAAAGTTTGAGACTCGATCTTCTTGATGGAGTTGAAAGAAAGCTGGATGGACTCGAGGTATGGGTGATACTGGCCCTGAAAGTGGTTGCGGCTTAAGGAATCGATCTTGTTATCCTGAATGTTGAGGTTCCTGAGTCGTCGCATGTAGCTAAAGCATTCGCTGCCGACCTTAGTAAGGGCGTTGTTGCTGAGGTCAAGTTCTCCCAGGTTGACCAGGTACTGCATAGGTTGTGACGGCAACTGACTCATCGAGAGCCCAGAACTGAAGCGAAGTTCTTCTAGGCCACCTCCTATGTTGACGAAAGCTTCGTTGTCAATAGACCCAATTCTGTTGTTGGAGAGATCCAAGATCTTAACCCCAGGGACGTGCTCAAAGGCATTGCTGGATATTCCTGTGATGCCATTCTTCATGAGGTAAAGCTTCTCGACCGCTGGACCGAAGCCTTTGAAGTCTTCCTTGGAGAGGGACTTATCTGGAAGAGTGCTCAAGCCAAGAGTTCGGACGTTTCTCATCTCTTTCAACTTATCCATGGGAATAGGCCCCATGTTGTCCCCTAGAAGGTTGAGGTACTGCAGGGTGTTCCGGACCCCATTGAAGGCCTCAGCTGGGTCTAGAGACATCCTGTTGTTGCTCAGAGACAGGGAACGCAGGGCATCAAGCCTGTCGAAGGCCTGAGCGGGGATGAAAGACAGGTTATTGTAGCTGAGATCCAGCGTCTGCAGCGTTGACTCAAGCCCTCGGAATGCGTTGTCGGAGATGCTCCACAGATCAGAGTCATGGAGATACAGCTCTTTGATTTTAGCGTCTTTGAAGGCGTCGTCGCTGATGTGAGTGAGGGGATTGCCTCTGAGCGAAGTGCGGTTTACAGTCCCGAAGTTCTGGAAGGAGTAGGGAGGGAGGGTCTCGATCTGGTTGAAGTCGAGAACGAGAGTGTCCATAGAGAGAGAGCCGGTGAAGAGGACCTCGAAGGTTAGTGTGATGCGGTTCCTCGCCAGGTTGAGAGTCTGCAGGTTGCGCACCTCAGTCATGGCCTCAAAGGGGATGGCTGGAAGTAAGTTGTTGCCCAGGTTGATGTGAGCCAGCTGGCTTGACGACCTCTGAAATGTCAACAAACTCCTCAGAAATTTATGCAGTACTTATACAGTATATAAAATTTATTATGTACTTAAAATATAGTTACCTTTTCAACATTGTAAAAGCTGGGAAGCTCAAAGACAAGTGAAAATCATTTTTCATTTGTATAAAACTGCTGGAAAGCCCAAGCCCGTACAAGTTCCATACTGTCCTGTGTTGTTATTTAGGAACAAAATGTGGTAATTTGTAAGACACAGTTCCAGCCTGGAAGGCCCAGATCTAGTGAAGCTTTGACGTGCGTGGGTGGAAGTTAAGTAATTTATTAGGAGAAAGTGCTACGCCATTACGACTATATAACACTTGGAAGGGATGAGGATAAAGGTTTAGGATGGGACGGAGGTAAGGAATGGTGTCTATACCACTTGGATGGTCGGGGATTGAACGCCGACTTGAAAGAAGCGAGACTATAACCGTCCAGTCCAAGTGGATGGGCAAGTCTGTGTTTAAGACGAATACTATTATGACTAATATTGATTGACACATAGTGCTAGATATTGCAAGTGCATAGTCCAAGATACTGTCACTTCTTGTGGCTTCCAGGAAGGAAAACCTATATGCTTCTGGAAATACTCTTGTCTCCGGCATAATCTCTCACCTGGAAAGCCTTGCTGTTGATAAACATGATATTGTTGCCACGAAGGTTGAGGGTGCGCAGGTTCTCGAGGGTAGCGAAGATGCCTTGAGGGAGAGTTGTGAGAGAGTTCTCAGCCAGCACCAGCGTCTGTAGCGACGACTCGTAACCCTCGAAGTCCTCCACCGTCAGGTCCGATATGTAGTTGCCTGTAGAAGTCGACACAAATACAAATACACAATCGACTTGAGAATGGTCCAGGACGGACCGAAACGTCGTCGTCGTCCCTTCACTTTCTAGTGTGTGGTCTGGTCAACACAAATACATTATTTGGCTTAAGTGTTCGTCTAGAGATGAACTTTCTAGGGGACAGAAAGAGAAATATGTTTATGAGGTGCAAGTAGAAGAGTTTAAGAGTGATCTGAGTCCCGGAGTCACTGGTTGCGGTACAAGAGAGAGAACATTTACTGATTTCAGGAACTATATGTTTAGGTTAACTGAATTTCAGAGATGTACTGGACTTAAAAAAAACAAAGCAGGCAATATATATATATATATATATATATATATATATATATATATATATATATATATATGTGTGTGTGTGTGTGTGTGTGTGTATATGTGTGTGTGTGTGTGTGTGTGTGTGTGTGTGTGTGTGTGTGTGTGTGTGTGTGTACTCACCTAGTTGTGTTTGCGGGGGTTGAGCTCTGGCTCTTTGGTCCCGCCTCTCAACCGTCAACCAACAGTTGTAAAGATTCCTGATGATTCGTGATCCTGTGTGTGTGTGTGTGTGTGTGTGTGTGTGTGTGTGTGTGTGTGTGTGTGTGTGTGTGCGTGAAGGTAGAACAGGGGCCCCATTTAAAAGCTTGCCATATTATAGCACTCAATATAAAAGGTTTACAGCACAATGTTCTCTACAAATAAAAGCTTCCATAATAACAATTCGACAGTTGGCTCGAATGAAACATTTTAACAGAAAATCTCTCCTAAACGGGGCGAGGCACTGGGAAAAAAATTCACTCACTCAACATCGTGTAGCTGAACAAGTCTCGGTTACAATTTCCTTCACTAATGACCCAATTGCTTCACTCAAATTGGTCCCATCATCTCCATCAAGACAATAACATAAGTGTGTTTTATCTTAGGCTGGAAATAGCCCGCATTGTTCTGGTATTGTCGGTTCTTATCTGACTATCAATTCATATCAATGAATTGTGGGGTTCAGTCCCTGAGCCCATTATGTGCCTCTGTAACCCTTTCCACTACCGCCCACAAGATGGGTATGGGGTGCATAATAAATGAACTAAACTAAACTTATCTGACTCCTTACCTCTCCCTCCCGTTCTCGCACTTTCATACAGTCAATATTGACTTATTAAATAAGTGCATATGTGACATACTAATTGATTGTGAATATTTTAGTTTACCTTGAAAAGCTTCATAGAAAACACCGACCTTACCTAACCTTCTTAGTATGTTAAGATAAGCATCTTATTGCTTCGTAATTACAATTATTACTTAACCTATTATAGGTAAAGGTTAAGTAATAATTGTAATTACGAAGCAATAAGATGCTTATCTTAACATACTAAGAAGGTTAGGTAAGGTCGGTGTTTTCTATGAAGCATATCAAGGTAAACTAGTATGTTTAATATGTCACATATGCACGTATTTAATAAGTCAATATTGACTGTAAGAAAGTGCGAGAACGGGTTGCCAGCTCGATACCCCCTCTCTCACTGTGACCTTCTGTTTTCTACCCACCAGGGACTCACATACCCACCTCAGAGTTGCTTTTCCCCCAGTTATCCCAACGTGTGTATCACCCTACCACACCAGCCTTTTTTGTGAACAACAATATCAAATGCTTTTTGACAGTCCTGGAAAATGCAGTCTACCCAGTCTTCTTTTGTCGCATTTTGGTGACCTTGTCAGGGAACTCAATCACGTTGTCCGGCGCCTCTGTTACAAAGTTTATCCTCGCCAGGTGCTCCACTATTCTTTTCCTGATTACTTTCTCCAAAACTTTGCAAGAAATACATGTTAGTGACACCGGGCTATAGTTTACAGTCTCCTCTCTATGGCTTTGTCTGGATATTGAGACTACCTTTGTCTTGGTGGTGGAGGATAGAGGGTAGGGTGATGGTGGTGGTGGTGGTGGTGGTGGATAGAGGGTAGGGTGATGATGGTGGTGGTGGTGGTGGTGGTGGATAGAGGGTAGGGTGGTGGTGGTGGTGGTGGTGGTGGTGGTGGATAGAGGGTAGGGTGGTGGTGGTGGTGGTGGTGGTGGTGGTGGTGGTGGTTGTGGTGGTGGTGGTGGATAGAGGGTAGGGTGGTGGTGGTGGTGGTGGTGGTTAGAAGGTGAGGTGGTGATGATAGCGGGGGAGATGGTGAGGGATGTAATGGTGAGTATAGTGGTTACCTTGAGGTGCTTCCGGGGGTTAGCGTCCCCGCGGCCCGGTCGTCGACCAGGCCTCCTGGTTGCTCCTGGTGGTGATAGATAGTGGTGGTGACAGATAGTGGAGATGGTGATTGTGGTGATGAAGGTTCTTATCTATCACTGACTACGGGAAAGGGAGGTTAACCCTGTCGTAGCTCAGTCGATTAAGGCAGTGTCTGGGATGCTCCCGGACGCAGGTTCGAATCCTCGTCACGGCCCTTGTGGATTTGTTCAAGGGGAGGTCTAGCTCTCTATGCCCCGCCTACTAGTCTTCCTGTACCTGTTGGTCTATAGCTTAACTAATCTGACGTTCAAATTCTCTGTCAAATCTGTCCATAAATTTGTGGATAGAGGTGGCTTCCAGAGCTTGTTCCAGCGTGTCCCCCCCCCCGTGTTGACCACCTGTACGGGGCATCTGTATTTCCTCACAATTTTCCAACCACTTGGGCTGGACGGTAAAGCGACGGTCTCGCTTCATGCAGGTCGGCGTTCAATCCCCGACCGTCCAAGTGAGTGGGTACCATTCCTTTCCCACCTCCCTCCCGTCCCATCCCAAATCCTTATCCTGACCCCTTCCCAGTGCTATATAGTCGTAATGGCTTGGCGCTTTCCCCTGATAGTTCCCTTCCCTTCCTCACATTTCTTACCCATTTGTTTCCAATTTACACTGTCTCTTTTTGTCCTATTTCTTTCAATTTAACGAGAGAAACCTTGTCTCTTCGCCTCAGTATCTTGTATGTTGAGATCATATCTCCTCTGTTTCCTCTGTTCTCCGAGGTTGTGAGGTCCAGTTCCTTCATCGTGACCTCTTTTTTTTTTAATTTTGGTTTTATGCTTGACAAAGTGCGGATTCCATACCAGTGTTAAGTATTCCAGAACTGGTCAAATAAAAGTTGTGTTGATTGCCTTGAAGGCGTCTTGATTTAGGCTGCTACACGACGTTCTAATGTTCGCCAGCGTCTCACATGCTGCTGATGTCACCCTGCCTGTGTGTGCCTCTCCTGTTTGTCATGGAATTATATCCATTCCGATTTTTTTTCTCCCATTTTTGTAGTTGCTTTCCATTTATGGTCTAGATACATAATGATCTACTGTCTCCATTTTCCCCCATCCTCACTACCTTACACATGTTGTGACTGAACTCTAACAACCATTTGTTTCCCGCACTCCTGGAGCCAGGAAACTTACAGCTCTACGGCACATCTCGTACCGTCTTGACAGCAGCGGTTGCAAAACCTTATGTGAAGCACAGGTTTGCTCCCAGCTTAGATGTGTACTCCTGGGTAGCCTGCTCTTACCCCCCCCCTCTCAATCATCAGAATTTTAGACAAGAAGGAGAGTCTTGCGAGAAGACTTATCTCTAGTCTTGACCAAGTCTGGTTAGATTGGTCTGAACCTCAGATCCTCCAACACCATCATGATGTTAGTGGACTTATTGTTATGTGCAAACCCAACATTCTCAAAGCTCCACACCTGTCCCAACTTCGTGGACAACCAGTTGTTGTCACCCATAACACAAGACTCTCAGTCATCAAGAGTCTAGTGCCGTAACTGCCTTCCTCAAGAGCCTCACTCCATCAGCGAGCATTCATTCCTAGATTGACCCGCACCTGTTCACAGAACAGGTTGATACGCGGGATAACAGGTCAACCAATCACCTGTAGGCTCTGGCCCACAGAGTGCATGACGTCACACTTCAAGAGACCAATCACGTGTCAAGCCGCTAGATCTTTCCGACACAACTCGACCTTATGCGTGCGGTTGAGCCTTTGAAATCACGCATGCAGTCTGTTGACCTTAAGAGACTGAGCGTGTGATCTACTTACCTGTGAGGTCTAGCGTCTTGAGCTTCTGTAGCCTCCTGAGGGCGTCTCTGGGGAGTCGAGTGAGGTCGTTGTATTGGAGATCAAGTTCCCACAGGGAGCGCTCGACGCCATAGAAGGCCTTTTCTGGCACGTCGAGCAGGGCGTTGTGACGCACCTCCAGCCTCCACATTCCTGGAAGACACAAGGAGGTTAATGGGTGGAGTGGGAGGCTTGGTGGTGGAAGGGGGTTAATGGGTGGAGTGGGAGGCTTGGTGGTGGAAGGGGGTTAATGGGTGGAGTGAGTGCATTAAGGGTAATAGTGATGGGTCAATACATGAAAATTGGCCCCATACCACCTTTATCTCGAGTCTGTGTTTGTGTCATGAAGGTTTACTGCTTCTCTCTCTCTCTTCTCTCTCTCTCTCTCTCTCTCTCTCTCTCTCTCTCTCTCTCTCTCTCTCTCTCTCTCTCTCTCTCTCTCTCTCTCTCTCTCTCTCTCTCCTCTCTCTCTCTCTCTCTCTCTCTCTCTCTCTCTCAGGTTTCTCTCCCACTTTGCTTCCGTCTCACTTTTTCCTCTCCGCCTCATTACGAGCACAAGCTGGTGTCCTCTTCCAAGCACTCCCTCTCCCTCACCTCTCCCCCTCTCCCTCACCTCTCCCCCCTCCCTCACCTCTCCCTCTCCCCCACCCTGATGCTCACTTCTCTCCTCCTTCAGCTGACGCCTCTCCTCTAACCTTTTTCCACCTCTCCCCATCCTAGTCCTCACTTCTCCCACCATCCTCACCTCTCTCTCACCCACTCTCCCCTCTCCTACACCCTCATCTCTCTACCAACCCCTCACTTTTACCCTATCCTAGTCAACCTGTTTCATGTTTTGTGCATGTCTGATTCTCTGTCTGTCTGTCTCTGTCTCTCTCTCTCTCTCTCTCTCTCTCTCTCTCTCTCTCTCTCTCTCTCTCTCTCTCTGGTCGGAGACTCTTCTTGGCTTCCTTCCTTCCTTCCTGTCATTATTCTCCTTCCCTTCCAGTTCCCTCATTCGTTAGTCTCAGTATCACACTCTCCTCTCTTTTCTCTGTTATAATTTTTGGTGTGTTGATATGTTCTTGTGCGTTATTTTACAATGTTTTTGTGTAGTGTCTCTCACTGTCTCCTCCTCCTCCTCCTTCTCCTCTCTTTCTGTGCCTCTCCTCTTCTCTCTCTCTCTCCCTCTACCCTCCCAGAACACACAAGATATTCCCCTCACTCTCCATCAAGTCCCTCCTCCATGTGGCCTCTCCTCCCTCCCTTGGTTCATCATTATTCATGCCCTTACCTCTTTCTTTATCCCTCACTGCCCCTCTTTCTCCCTTTCTTCTTTATCACCTTTTATTATCAACGGTAATTTCTTGCACCAATTCTTCATGTAGTCTCAATAAAGATTTAATTAATGTTGCCTTGAGAAAAAAACTTTTTAAACACGTAAGTTTGGACACATGATTTGGATATAGAAATTTGTTTATTAAATATTATAAAATAACACAATTTCATGTTGGTTTTGTATATTTTTATGTAGGTGAGTTTGGAGATTTATTTGAGTTATTGGTGTTAGGGTGTGGTAAAAGTCTGTGATTATCATGGGTTATGAAGTTTTAATTCTCTTATTAAACCCATGGGTCAGTAATTGTTGTTGTGTGTGTGTTGTGTGTGTGTGTGTGTGTGTGTGTGTGTGTG